TAAATATATACCCTACGTATATATGTAACCTTACTATATAACTAGAACTATACTAAATATCAAAAGAGCGTAATAATACCCCATAGAAGTGCCTACAACGGAAAAACGGGGAAAATAGTGCTATTTTTTCACGACACATTATTCTACTTTGCCTCGAGCTATAATAATTCATTGGTATTGCATTATAGCAGAATTCTTTGCTCTCTAAAACAAGAACCAACCGCTTGTACAATACGAATACTTCTAGGCGGAGATATCGGCTCAACTAAACCTTCCCCTCCACCATGCCAAAACGCCGCCTAGAATAACACTTCTGTCCGCATCCATTCACGCCGGCTAAAGCATTTTGGCTATCGGTTTCCGTCACCGCTTGGAGCCGCTGATAATTGATGTCAGCATGGCCCAAATTTGGTACTCTTACTAAAGCTGCCGTTGTAGCAGACTTAATTAAAAAAACATTGCCCGCGCTCCAATTCATGACGGGCATTAGCCGTGCCTAGCGGAAAGATAATGGGAGAATAAGGGGCCATAAAGGCGATGCCTCCCCGAAAGTCGACCTCCACCCTGCCCACCTGCACCCGAAAAATCATTCATAAAATGTATGGACTTGGAAAAAAACGAAACATCTCAAGCAACCGTTAGAGGGCGTTTAGGTACCGCCCCGAATAATAGCTGGGAGCCCAGGCCGTGTGATGCGCATGTGGGTAGGGAGCCGTTTAGGCAGCCACATATCTCAAGCCGCAGGAGTATTGTATTGACAAACGGTTGGTCTTGCTTTAGAGAGCAAAGAATTCGTGCCTTAATGCGAATACCATAAAATTATTCTAGACGTCGCAGGCAAAGCATAAATAATCATGTCGTGAAATAGTCAACTATTTCCCCGTTTTTCCGTTGCTTACACTCTAGCGTATTGATTCAGCTCTTGTAAATATATATATAATTACTATAAAACAACATAACATCTCCTTACTATAAACAAAATTATTGAATCCCAAGTCTTCAAAATCCTACCGATAAAGTTGCTAGCCTTCAGTCAAGCTTACTCGAAATCTTTAGCGTCTGTTTTCAGCGCATGAACACCAAATTTGTCACCGTTTGCCAGAGCCTACTTCTGTCTGGCCAAGCATTTGTCTTTTCAGATCTCCCAATTCCGGCATTATCACCATGCAGCCTCTAATCGCATCTTCGCGGAGGCAACGATCAGTAAACGTAAACATTGAGCAAATAGAGAAAAACACGTCAAAGTTGCCGTACGATCCGCCGTACCAATCCCGCGTTACGGATCCCAGTACAATCCCCCTTTCCATTTTTCGCTTTCCAGAGTATCGCCTACCTGCCTTACAGCGATTCAGATGATTCCCGTCGTCGGAGTCGCCCCCTGGTGCACCGCGGCCGGCCTGCGACTGCGCAAGGTTTCAGGGGAGCCAGAGCCGATCGGAATCACGCATCGTCGGCGCGCATGAGGACGCGCGTTCGCGGAACGTAGTCGCGGATCTTCGTGAAGGCACGTGTGTGTTCCCGGAGGACACGCGCCCACGTCGACACAAGGAACGCTGGAGACCATGGTTAGCCCCTACTATACGACGGTCAAACAACATCGACAATCATATCGATAATCTATATAATATCGACTTAAATATATATATGATAAACAGTCTATTAATATATATATAATCAATATCTAATACTATCTATGAATTAATTGATAATAAATTGCTGCCCGCCGTCGCGTTAATGCGCCCCGAATATTATCGCTCTCGCAACGCTGGCGCTCCCTGGGCTGGCAGCGGTTTGTCGCGCGTGGTCTCTCCATTATGCGCATAAATTAAAAATCGTCGAATATTTCAATCGAGGATTCGTCATGCTCTCGCGGCGGGGGTTTTAATTGGAGATTGTTGGAATTTTCATCCGCATTAAACGCTCATTGTCGTCCGCTCGTTAGGTACGACCGGGCGTTTATAGAGTGCGGCAAACTTATTCCCGCATTGTAGTTTACGCAACGCCCTGCCGCGGTGTTAGTTAAATTTACACTTACAACATGGACCGCTAAATGATACGATATGTTACATAGTATAACATTATCAAAATAATGCTGCCCACTCAACAGGCGCATGCATGATACACGCACGCGCAACGCACGCGCACCCCCATACCATGCAGCATAGACTCGCGGCCCTCACGCTCTCTCCCGCAGTCGTGACCGCCATCTGACGAATAAACGGCTTGCCAGTCTAGACGGCACTGCCGCAGCAGCGAGGCGGTTCTCGCCCTCATCACGCTCGCCCCGCGACATCGTCCACTTCACTTTTCGGCCCCCGCCCCGGGAACGGGCGCCACCGTCCCGCACCACCTCCACCAGCGGCGTCCCCGCGACTCGCGAGCGCACACACCACGAGGACACATTGGAGCCACGGAGGCTCGCTCGCTGCTCAGCGACCCGGTCAGCGGGTCGCGCGAGGCGGCGAAGCGGCGCAGCGACCGCTGACGGCGCGGAGTCGGGAGGCCAGCGCCGCCTGGGTCGCCTGGACCGCAAGAGCTCGCCGCCGAGCGCCGCCAGCCCCCCCTGGAGGCGGAGCCTGAAGCGTGCCAGCAACCCCCTGCCGAGCACGCGCTTCGACGACGAGCGACACGACGGCGCACGGGCGATTCAGGCCTCCCCTCTTGCTGTCAGACCGTCAGGCCGCACCTCCTGCGAGAAGAGGGCGCTGATTATCGGCGACGACGACTCGACGCAAGGCGGCGACGCCGACGCGAGACGAATAGAACGCGCCGCCGCCTGCCGCCCCTCGACATCGCCGCCGGCGAAACGGCGGGAGGCGGAGGAGCTGAGGAAGGGGGCCGCCGCCGTCGGCGCCCGGAGCAGTCCGCCGTGCAGGCGTCACAACGCCGCTGCCTCGTCCACCGCACTCCAGCGCCTCTAGCCGTGCGACTTTCCGATCAGTCGGCACGTCGCTGTACATCGCGACGAAAGTTCGCGCTGCGTCCCGATGGGGTCGCCGCCGCGAGCTCTTTCTCGCCGTTCCCGAGGACCCCGCCGGTCGGTCCGCACCGCCATTGCCGCCGTGTAACCCCCGCCGGCTGCTCTCGACCTCGACGCCCGCGGCCGCCCCTGGCACGCTGGCGGTCTTCCGCCCGGAGGATTTCCCGACTGACGCACGCCGTCCGGCGCTGGAAAACGAAGGCGCGGCCGGCTTTGCCGATCGGAGGCTGCGTCGGCGGCGGAAACGACCGACGACGACGACACTGACGTCTGCGAAAACATTGCTGCAGCGCAGTGGAACTACCCGCCCAGCGGCAGTGGCGGCCCCCATCCCAGGAGCCAGCAGCAGCAGCCCAGGCAGCACTCGCACAGCAAACGACGGCCGCGCCACGCACGACGCGACTACGACCTCGCGCCGCCGTTTCGACGTCAGCGCATCTTCGCGACGTCGGACGACGACGACGGCGGCGCGAGTTTGGGCGAGTCGCCGACGCTCGGTCGCCGCGCGACCGCGTCGAGGATTCCGCCGTCGCTGGCCACGTTTCACCAACCGAAGCGCGCCATCTTACAGGACGGCCGGACGTCGGCGCAGGCTGCAGCTCGTCGTGCTGCCTGCCCGCGGCGCACCCCTGGAGGAAGCGGGGGTGCAGTGAGCAAGGTCGCCGTGGATCGCGCGCCTGCAGGAGGAGAAGCAGACGGCCCTGACCGGCAGGCAGAGGGACCGCGACTTAGAGCGAAAGACGAGTGCGGGACGCAGAGAAGAGGTGCAGGACCGGAGGAGGAGGAGGAGCGAAGAAGAAGCCAGAAAGCACGAGAGTGAGGAGGAGGAGGCAGCGAGGAGCAGGAGGAGGAGGAGGAGGCATCCGGATACGCGTGTGATCGACGTAAGCGACGCGACAGCGGCGCGAGACGGCGACGGCCGAGCGCCAGGGGGCGCCGCCGCCCTGCAGCTCTCCGCGCTCCGTCAGCGCCAAGTACCGACAGCGTCGACGACATCGTCGCATCGCCGTCGGCAGGGGGCGCCACGACGGCGGGAAGAGCGGCGCTTGCGCGGCTCACGACGAGTCTCAGTGCGAGCGCGACGCCGACGGGACACCGAAGACAAGGTCTGAGACATCGAGGACGTACTGAGTGAAAGGCGTACCTGCAAGACACTGAATTCCTGAGCACACTGCGTACAGAATAATGAGATGCTGATATGTGATGAGGACACTGAGACAAGGCTTGAGATACTGATATGGGATGAGACATCTAAGACAAGGTGAGCACACTGAGACAAGGTGACGACAACTGATATAGGATGAGATACTTAAGCAACAAGGTGGAATACTGATATGGATGAGACCACTGAGACGAGGTGGGCCTTGAGATGTGGTGAGACATGGGATGACGACACTGAGGACAGGATCATGAGGGTGTGATACTGAGACAGGATGAGACACTGTGATGTGGTGAGACACTGAGACAAGGATGAGACACTGGTACAGGATGAGATGCTGGTACAGGATGAGTCACTGAGACAAGGTGAGACACTGAGACAAGATGAAGGCGATACTGATATGGATGAGATACTAAGACAAGGTTGATATAACTGATATGGGATGATGACACTAAGCACAAGGTGAGACACTAACGAGCAAGATGAGACATCTGATATGGGATAGTCACTGAACAAGCTGTTGAGACACTGACATGGTGATGAGACACTGAGACAAGGCTGCAGACACTGAGACAAGATGAGTATACTGATATGCGCGCATGAGCATACTAAGACAAGGTGACGATACTATGATATGGAAATGAGACACTAAGACAGCCGTGAACACTAAGACAAGATGCAGACACTTGATATGGATGAGTCACTGAGACAAGTGAGACACTGACATGGGCATGAAACGATACTGATATCGGCATGAGACACTGACGACAACGTGAGACACTGAGACAAGGTGAGGACACCTACATGTGATGAGACCACTAAGACAAGGCTGAGATACTGATATGGGATGAGACACTGCAGGACAAGGTGAGACACTGAGACAAGGTGAGACACTGATATGGGATGAGACAACTAAGACAAGGTGCAGACACTGATATGGGATGCAGACACTGGAGACAAGGTGAGACACTGACATGGGATGCAAGCACACTAAAGACAAGCCAATTGAGACACTAATGGATGAGTCACTGACGAACAAGGTGCAGCGACACTGACATGCGGATGAATACTATATGGGATGAGGACACTTTGAAGACAAGGTTGAGATCACTGACGACAAGGTGAGCACACTGACGATGCTGATGAGACACTAAGACAAGCGTGAGATACTGAGATGGATGAGTCACTGCAGACAAGCGTGAGAACACTGACATGGGCATGAGACACTGAGACAAGGCGTAAGTCACTGAGACAAGGTGAGACAGCTGACATGGATGAGATACTGATATGGGATGAGCACACTGCAGACAAGCTGAGACACTGAGACAAGTGAGACACTGACAGTGATGCAGGACACTAAGACAAGGCTGAGATACTTGATATGGGATGGAGTCACTGAGACCAAGGCTGAAACACTGACATGGGCATGACGACACTGAGACAAGCGTGAGACACTGAGACAAGAATAGAGATTACTATTTGTATACATAGATAAATAATTATAACGTTCGATAACGCAAGATTGCAAGCCCTTTACGAAGGAATTTACGACCTTTAATGAATGCTCTTGTGTTTGCAGACGAAAGTATTACCTCAAAGGATGAGACGATCATGCCAACTGCTAGCGAGACCATGAGCGGTAAGTGTGTGACAAGTGAACATCCTACCTATCCGCCCATCACGAGACGCCATGCCCCACGCGATAATGTTTTTCCTAGCTAATACAACTAAATATATACCCTACTATATATATACCTTACTATATAACTAAACTACTAAATATATATATAACTAGAGCACTCGGAGAGCGCAGACCTCCGCCAAGGCAGCTCAATTCTCTCACTGTGAAAATTTTTATTAATTCATTAATTAATTAAATAATTAATTGGATCCGGATCACCACCAAAATGTCATCAATTGTAAGTTACACCATTTCTGACCTATCCTGAAAATTTAATTAATTAATTAATTGGATCCAGATCACCACCAAAATGTAATCAATTCTAAGTTAACCCATTTCTGACCTATCCTGAAAATTTTATTAATTAATTAATTAATTAATTGATTGGATCCGGATCACTACCAAAATCTAATCAATTCTAAGTTAGCCCATTTCTGAGCTATCCTGAAAATTTTATGACAATCCGTCCATAACTTTTTCAGTTAGGCTGTACACAAACAAACAAACACACAAACCAATTAACAAACACACCGGTGAAAACATAACATCCTGCCAACCCCTTGCCAACAACATCGTGGCCAACTACAACTAAATATATACCTTACTATATATATACCATATAACTAAACTACTAAATATATATATAACTATACTATAACTACTATAACTAACAACATCCACTAAAACTACATAGCTGATTAGCTGACACTAATCTACTAACAACATCTCCTACTATAACAAAATATTAATCAGTCTTAAAATCCTACGATAAAGTTGCTAGCTTCAGTCAAGCTTACTCGAAATCTAGGTCTGTTTCACGCATGAAACACCAAATTTGTCACGTTGAGGCACTTTGTTGCCAAGCATTGTCTTTTAGATCTCCCAATTCCGGCATTCATCACCAGGCAGCTCTAATCGATCTTCGCGGAGCAACGATCCAGTAAACGTAAACATGAGCAAAAAAAACACGTCAAGTTGCGGTACGATCCGGTACAATCCGCTTTCCATTTTTCGTTCCAGAGTCGCTGTACCAGCGATTCCAGATGATTCCGTCGTCGGAGTCGCCCCCTGGTGGCACCGCGGCCGTGCGACTGCGCAAGGTTCCGGGGAGAGGGATCGGAATCACGATCGTCGGCGGAGAGGACGCGCGTTCCGGGAACGTAGTCGGGATCTTCGTGAAGGACGTTGTTCCCGGAGGAACGGCCGACGTCGAAGGAACGCTGAGACCAGGTAGCGCCCTCTATACGACGTCAACTACATCGACAATCATATCGATAATCTATAATTTCGACTTAATATAATATGATAAACATTTAAATATATAAATATAATCAATATTAATACTATCTAAGAATTAATCTGTAATAATGCCTGCCGGTCGTGTTTACGCGTGAATTTATCGCTTCGCACGCCGGCGCTCCCTGGTGGCGGTGTCCTCACATGCGTCTTCCATTGCGCATAAATTAAAATCGTCGAATTTCAATCGAGGATTAGTCTGAGGCGGCGGCGGGGTTTTAATGAGATTGTGGAATTTTCATCGCAATTAAACGCTCATTGTGTCGTCGTTAGGCATAGAGTGCGAATAATTTATTGTGATTAGTTACGCAACGCGCCGCGGTGGTTAAATTTACATTACAAATGGCCGCTAATTGATACGATATGTTACATGTATAAATATCAATATGTCCCACTCACATGGGCATGCATGTACACGCGCGCGCACGCACGCACGCACGCACGCGCACCCCCCCCCTCTCATACACGCACATAGACTGCGCCCTCACGCCTCTCTCCCTGCAGGTGACCGCATCCTGACGATAAACGGCGCCAGTCTAGACGGACTGCCGCAGCAGGAGGCGGTCTCTCTCATCACGTCCGCCCGCGACATCGTCCACTTCACCGTCGCCCGCCCCGCGGGGGCGCCACCGTCCCGCGACCACCTCCACCAGGCGGCGTCGGCGAGCGAGCGCCACGACCCCGAGACATTGGAGCCACGGAGGTCGTCGCTGCTCAGCGACCCGGGTCAGGGGTCGGCGGAGGCGGCAGAGGCGGCGGAGGCAGCGCGGGACCTGACGGGGGGAGTCGGAGGCCAGCTGCGCCGGTCGCCGTGGACCGCAGAGCTCGCCGCCGAGGCGCAGCGCCCCCTGGAGGCGGAGCTGAGCGTGCAGCACCCCCTGGAGACATCGTTCGACGACAGCGACGACGAGGCGGCGATCAGCGCCCTCTTGTGCCAGACATCGGCCGACCTCCTGCGAGAGCGGGCGCTGATATCGGGCGACGACGACTCGGACGCGGCGACGCCGACGCGAGACAATAGAACGCGCCCGCCGCTGCCTCCCCTCGACATCGCCGCGGCGACGACGGCGGAGGAGGAGGAGGAAGGGGGCGCCGCCGTCGGCCCCAGCAGTCCGCTGCGGCGTCACAACGCGCTGCTCGTCCACCGGCACTCCAGCGCCTCTAGTGGCGACTTTCACGTCGTCGGCACGTCGCTGACATCGCCGACGAAGTTCGCGCTCGTCCGCGAGGGGTCGCCGCCGGAGCTCTTCTCGGTTCCCGAGGACCCCGCCGGGCCCCGCCGGTGCGCCGCCACCTGCCCTCCCGCGTGCCCCGCCGGTGCTCTCGACCTCGACGGCCCGGCGGCGCCCCCTGGCGACGCGGCGGCTCCTCCGCCGGAGGATTTCCGCGACGACGACGCCGTCGCCGTGGAAACGAAGGGCGGCCGGTTTGCGATCGGAGGCTGCGTCGGCGCGGAAACGGACGACGACGACGACACGACGTTGGAAAACATTCTCAGCGAGTGGAACCACCCGCAGGGCGGTGGCGCCCCCTCCCAGCAGCAGCAGCAGCAGCAGCACGTCGCCACGGCAACGACGCGCGCCCACGACGACGCGACCTACGACCTCGCCGCCGTTGACGTCAGCGCCATCTCGCGGACGTCGGAGACGACGACGGCGGCGGAGTTTGCGAGTCGCGACGCGTCGGTCGCCGCGGCGACCGCGTCCGAGGATTCCGCGTTGCTGGACGTTCGCGCGAGCGGCGCCATCTATAGGACGTCGGACGTCGGCGAGGCTGAGCTCGTCGTGCTGCTGCCGCGGCGCCCCCTGGAGGAAGCGGAGGTCATGAGGAAGGTCGCCGTGGATCGCACGCTGCAGGAGGAGATCGACGACCTCGCCGAGGAGAGGGACCGCGACTTAGAGGAAGACGAGGCGGACGAGAAGATGGTGCAGGAGGAGGAGGAGGAGGAGGAGGAGGAGGAGGAGGGATCCGGATACGGTGTGTCCGAGCGTAAGGACGACAGCGGGCGCGAGACGGCGGACGCGACGCCGCCAGGGGGCGCCGCCGCCCTGCAGCTCTCCGCGCTCGTCAGCGCCAAGTACCGACAGTCGTCCGACGACGACGTCGATCGCCTTCCGGCAGGGGGCGCCACCGACGGCGGGAAGAGGGCGCTGGCGCGGCTCACGACGAGTCTCAGTCCGAGCGCGACGCCGACGGACACCGAGACAAGGTGAGACATCGAGACGTACTGAGACGTACTGAGACACTGAGATGTGGTGAGACACTGGTACAGAATGAGATGCTGATATGGGATGAGACACTGAGACAAGGTGAGATACTGATATGGGATGAGACACTGAGACAAGGTGAGATACTGATATGGGATGAGACACTGAGACAAGGTGAGACACTGAGACAAGGTGAGATACTGATATGGGATGAGACACTGAGACAAGGTGAGACACTGAGACAGGATGAGTCACTGAGGCAAGGTGAGACACTGATACAGGATGAGTCACTGAGACAAGGTGAGACACTGAGACAAGGTGAGTCACTGACACAATGTGAGACACTGAGACAAGATGAGACACTGAGACAAGGTGAGACACTGTTAATGAGACACCGCGGTGGCGCTGTCGTTGCAGCGAGGAGTCGGCGAGCGAGGGCGAGATGACGCTAAACACGGAGGCGCAACCTGGTGACGAGTTCCAGTGTCGTCTGCAGAAGCTGCACGGCAGTCTGGGCCTCGCGATATCGGTGAGTCAACCCTGACCAATGGCGTCGCGACGGCGGGTTCTAAAAGACGATGCTTAGCAGCGAGGTCTCTAGTTAGTACGGATTACAGGAGCTCTGTTGCAGACCTGCCAACCCTTACGATGTTTTCGTTTTCCTTACGAATCCCATGATGTTTCTACGAATGTACGATCAAACTGAAAAACTTACGATTTTTTACGACTTGTGAAAATTGATGTTTTTTACATTGTGAGCCGAGAAATATCTGGCGATTGTGGGCGCAGCCATATTGGATCACGCGTT